GAGTTGAAAGTTGCGGACAAGTTGCTGCGGACACACACACACACACAAACACACACAGACAACCCCATAACAATATGCGTTCTGTACTGCTGTTACGCAGCACAAAACGCATAACAAGGCTATATTATTTGAAATCGTATACACAGAAACAATCGGGTTTTACTGCGTTTTTGAAAAAAGCGAAAAATAGTAGTGTTTTAACGGTAAGAAAGCGTCGTCTCCCGCATGTTGTACTTTAAGAATAAGGTGTTTGTGAAGGGAAACTTAATGCGAAAACGAAAAACCTTTTCACTCGCTAGTCGAAATATTGCCAGTTCGGTGTCTTAGAATTCAATGTAAGAAAGACCAAATGCCAAATTAGTAAATTTATTGGCGGCGAAATGCCACGTAACGCTTTTGTCTTATTGCTGAGGTGTTTTCTCGCGAGTTGAAGCGAGGAAAGCGACGCAGCCCGGAGGAGACAAGGTGGGCATCGCTTTAATGACAATGAATATTTTATAACATGAAACTGAGAGAAGAGCGTTGAGGAATGCCTTCGCTCTTGAAAACATGATTAATTTTGTACACTCACGCATACGCATGCACGGAGCCGACAAAACAAAAGCACAAAAGGTCAGTCTTGCAGAGAGGGCAGTTAGGGAAGGATGCCGAAAATGGAAAAGGAAGATTTGCATGCCCCGCGGCAATAATTTTTACCCACAAGACGAAACCTTTCCTGGTGGTCGACTCATGTAAAACCGCCAAACCAGCGAGAAGATCGAGAGGGATAACCTTTGACGTCTAATTTGGGTCGAGCAGCTGCCCCTCCAGCACCTTTCAACTGGCGGAACCATCTTCCAACCCCGTACCCGCACTCACCCCTTCCCACACATCCGAGACAATGATACCCCTATATAAATGGAAACAAGTGCTGGTCTATAAATTCTGGATTTAAACGGAGCGCAGTGGATTTGTGCGTGCGCAGGCAAGAAAGGGACTGCTGGTTTTGTTGCGATTCCCGATTTTCTCTGCAAGACGGTCTCACCGATCCGGACTCTTCACCAAAACCTTGCTGACTCGAGATGCTACCCTTAAATTTATTATTAGCTTTCGGTGTAGCAGTGCTAGTCGATGCTATCCCTATCGATAACGGCGTAGAGGGTGAGCCGGAAATCGAATGTGGGCCGACAGCTATCACAGTCAACTTTAACACACGAAACCCTTTCGAAGGTTAGTTGCGTCATTTCCTTGAGAAATGCTACTCTGAAACGTTGGATAGTGTCACTTAAGGTAAGTATCGCTAGCTTCATGCGCTAACAATGACTTGGTTAAACCGTTTGACAATTATCAAATTTGAAATCAATTTGAGATCTAAATCATAATTGCTACAGTCGCTTAAGCTTCAGCACATTCGGTGTTACCGAGTTGGAGCCTCTCGCTTGAGTGCAGCTATGTCAATCTTTCTTTTTCCCAGTTTACTCGTACGGCTGCATGAACTCTTTCCGCTGTTCCAGAAGTTTCATTCCAACTTCTAGTGAATGGTCTGATAATATCAATTTTAAACTAGTGAAGTTAAGGAACATTTAAGATTTATTTCTAAGGAGAGCAAAAATTTTTAAGAAAGGAGCTGATCAATTTTGCAATGGTTATCTGCTGCCCTCTCATTCGAACGAAAAATGGCCCGTGTATTTGTCACATGTGCCAATGAGCGCGCATAATGATGCATTAGCTAATGCAAACATATACCACGAAGGTTTCGTGGACAGATCTTCAAATAGCTGTCTTGCCTACTATAAGGGCAATATTTGCTTCGTTACGGCTGCTTAAGAAGAATTGCATGGAACTGCTGCTGGACGGATAATACAGACGCAGTTACCGCAATCGAAGAAGTGTTTCAGGACACGTATATGCCAAAGGTTTGTATGAAAATCAGGAATGCCGGAATGACGAAGGTGGACGACAAGTAGCTGGCATATCGCTTCCATTTGATTCGTGCAATGTGGCAAGAACTCGATCGCTGAACCCGCGGGGTATCTTTGTCACGGCAGTAGTGGTCATCACATTTCATCCACAGTTCATCACAAAAGTCGATCGAGCGTACAGACTGCAGTGTTTCTACATGGAGGCCGATAAAACTGTTAGCACGCAAATTGAGGTTTCCGAAATTACCACTGCGTTCGCCACCCAGGTGGTGCCAATGCCGGTCTGCCGATATGAGGTATGTTGATGTCCAGCTGCAGTATTCTGCCATTTGGCAAACGCACAGCTCCTCTTTCGTACTATTTTCGTAGAAAATGTTTTAATCATAAATTTCTGAGGAGGAAAGCCAACGCAAACCAACGGGAAAATTTGCACGCGCTTCTTATACGATTTCTTCTGAATGTCATTATTTATTTAAATGGCGCAAAATTTTTATTATAACAGATTCTCGAAGGTGGTCCATCCGGACAACCAATCCAGTATGCCACCATAGGACAGCAAGTGTATCACAAATGGACTTGTGATACAGAGACTGTGGACACGTTTTGTGCTGTGGTGCACTCTTGTTTCGTGGATGATGGAAACGGAGACCACGTAAATCTGATCAATGAAGAAGGATGCGCTCTCGACAAATATCTTCTCAATAACCTGGAATATCCCACCGGTAAGTACTCGTCACTCGTTGCATCAAAAAGCAGTTCCCCAGCCTCGTAGGAATCAAAATCTGCTGAGAAAAATTTGCGCAACATGTTTTGTCCAATGAGTTTGGAAATGTGCTACAGTGCTAAGTTGTCTGTTAAAAAACCGCAGGCTGGAACGCACCAGTCGAGCCGGTGCGATCAAGCGTTTTTGCACCAAACTTGAAATAATTAGGTCAACTGCATGAGTGGTTGTTTTTCGTTACATCTACCTTGTGCTCTCAATACCATAACTCATCGTAAATTTTGCATAAAAGAAAATCAACAATATCCGCTTAGGGGTAGTTTTTTGAAAATGACCCAGCCGTTCAATGAGTAATTCCTTGTCAAAAATTTAAGTGCCCGTGCACAAGAGCCACGCACGCCTGGGGGCTGAATTTGATAACTTTAAGTCGTAAGTGGATTGGGGACATTCCCTGAAAATT